GATCCGCTGACTGAGCAATTGGCTCCATGGTCGGACCCAGAGGGTGGTAATTGATGGAAGTCAGTCGTCATGGTGCCCTGTGACCAGTGGGGTCCCCCAAGGCTCTGTCCTTGGACCCATATTGTTCAACATCTTCATTAATGATGTGGACATTGGAGTCAGAAGTGGACTGGCCAATGACACCAAACTTTGGTGCAAAGCATCCACACCTGAAGACAGGAGGGTGATCCAGGCTGACCTGGACAGGCTCAGCAAATGGGTGGACAAAAACCTGATGGTGTTTAACACTGAAAAATGCAAGGTTCTCCACCTTGGGAGAGAGAACCTGCAGCATCCTTATAGGCTCAGCAGTGCTAGGCTGGCTAGTACTATGGAAGAAAGAGACTTGGGGGTCATCATTGACCACAAGATGAACATGAGCTTGCAATGCAATACTGCAGCTAGTAAAGCGATCAAAACGCTGGCTTGCATCCATAGATGTTTCTCAAGCAAATCCCAGGACGTCCTTCTCCCTTACACTTGGCCTTGGTGAGGCTGCAGCTGAAGTACTGCATCCAGTTTTGGGCCCCACAATTCAAAAAGTATGTGGAGAAGCTTGAGAGAGTCCAGAGAAGAGCCACGTGAATGATCAGAGGTCAGGAAAACAGACCTTATGACGACAGGCTGAGAGCTGTGGGGCTCTTTAGCCTGGAAAAGCACAGGCTCAGGGGTGATCTGATGGCCACCTGTAAGTTTATCAGGGGTGACCACCAGTATCTGGGAGAATGTTTGATTACCAGAGCGCCCCAAGGGGTGACAAGGTTGAATGGTTATAAACTACTGCAAGACCATTTCAGGCTGGACATAAGGAAGAATTTCTTTACTGTCCGAGCCCCCAAGGTCTGGAATAGCCTGCCATCGGAGGTGGTTCAAGCACCCACATTGAACACCTTCAAGAGTAAATTGGATGCTTATCTTGCTGGGGTCTTATGACACCAGTTGACTTCCTGCCCTTTGGGCGGGGGGCTGGACTTGATGATCTTCCGAGGTCCCTTCCAGCCCTAATATCTATGACCTCAGTTGAAGGGGACATGGACTGAGCCTGGCAAGGAGACTGAGAGCAGTTTGGGGGGGGGGTTGGGATTTTTTTTTTCCTTTTATTGGATATTTGAGCACAGGCCAAGGCCAGCCCATAATAGACTAACAGACAGTACTATGACCTGGCTGCAGAGGACTTCAAATACCATCTGGAGAGGCTAGGCTGAGGTAAAGGGGAGGTTTGGAGCCCCACAGAAGAAAACATGGATTGAGACCAGGTAGGAACACCTTGGGCAGTGCCTCCTAGGAATATAATTTCATCAGAGTCGTGGCAGGAAAGAAACAAAAGATCAACTTTGCTTTACTCACCAAGGCGCCCCTGGGAGTTACAAGAAATAATGGCCATAAGCTAGCAGAGAGCAGATTTAGACTGGACATTAGGAAGAACTTCTTCACAGTTAGTGGCCAAAGTCTGGAACGGGCTCCCAAGGGAGGTGGTGCTCTGCCCTACCCTGGGGGACTTCAAGAGGAGGTTAGATAGGCATCTAGCTGGGGTCATCTAAACCCAGCACTCTTTCCTGCCTATACAGGGGGTCGGACTCGATGATCTATTGAGGTCCCTTCCAACCCTAACATCTACGAATCTATGAACTTCCTGGCAGACTAGGTGATCCAAAGCCGAGGTCTACTCTGTCACACCTGTTTTGTAGGAAAATAAACTCAGGGCAGTGGTAACAAGCCCTACAACACCGACAGCCATCACAGTCTACTAAAAGATATCGGATTGACCCAAAGAACCTTGTCTGCCAGTGCCATGTCCTTAGACTAACACCCCTAGCACCTGTCCCCGGTCAGCTGACCAGAAGGACGCAGGACCCTGAGCACATCTAAGCCCCAGGGCTGGGGCTGGCAAGGACAGTTCTCTGGCAACTGCTGAAGAAGAAGCTCCTACAGGAAAGGAAGGAAAGGCTCTGTGACAGTTTGGTTGCCTGTGATGCTAGTGCTACTGTGCTGCTTACTTACCTGTTGTTATTTAAAGTGGTGGACAAGGCTGAAGCTTAGGGAAGGAGGAGACCTCATTGGGGAACACTACCTTGTCATGCAGAGGCCCCAGCACCAGTGAGGGCATGCCTCAATACACACGCAGTCATACATCATGACGTTTGCTTGTCAGCAGCTTGAGGAGCAGTTTCCCAGAAACCCCTCCACCTATCTCCTTGAAACTTGGCAGGCTTCATAGCCTCAGCAGGGGCTACCATCCCTCGTGTTTTCAGTCAAATTGGACAAGCAGTGAAAAGGTTATAGGCAGTTTCATGATTTCCCCATTATAGCCTATAGGCAAAACATCAAAACAGCAAAGCAGTTTTGACGAAATGAAATGGAACAGCACTTCAAAACTAAATGAAACATCAAAATGAAACACTGTCCCTTCAAAATGGCAGTTGAAACAAACCACCACTAGGGCGTTTCGTAGAGCCCTAGTGCACAGCAGCAGGGACCTGCCCCCCTCCCCACTCCTCTGCACACCCTGGAGAAGCTGTCTGTGGCTCTGTCCCACATCCTGCCCTGCCCTGGCTGGACAGCACCTGCCCCACTTCCTCCCTCACCATGGGGGCCTCAATCTGCCCCGCTCTTTCCCGTCCCCCCTACAGACTTATAGGCCAGTCTTTCCCTTCCCCCCTACAGACTTATAGGCCAGACACTGTTCTCTAAGCTGCAGGGCTGCATTCCCGGCTGCATGTATGTATTAGTGACATTATCGGTTACACCAGTCAAAAAAGTCAATTGCTGATAATGTCAATTTTCCTTTTATCAGTCCCGATTTGATATGGAACAATATACTGGTACAAATCTATATGTTACTAAGAGCAGCTAACAGCAAGATTGCAGAAGAAAGACTAGTTTAATTAGTGGAACATTAAGATAATTAAAAAAGGAGACAGGGTTGTTAGCAGCTGTGGAGTAAAGGGTTTAGAAGGGATCAGATACATTATAACGAGTCATGAAATCAATTGACCTTCTCAGCCCTGCCCGACTAGAAATGCTACTACCACTGCCAGGCAGTTGGCTTTAAATTTGGGGTGGACTAAGAATCAAAGTGGGGTGCAACTCCATCACTGCACCTGCTCCCCCTGGATCTGTCCCTGTGCATTTCCCACTAAACTGAAAAGTCTGGGAACTAGTTTTACAGTGGTGTTCCTCCACTGATCAGAGGGGAGTCATTTTCCCTTTAACTAGGGCAAGTGAAAAGAGAATCAAGCCCCAAAAGCCTTTTCATAAACTGAACTTATGGAAGCAACAATATTTTAGGATGTGGTATCAACCTACAGAGGCAGAAAAGCATGTAGATGCCTCAGGAACAGTAGAAGTTTGGGAACAGAAGAGATGAGTGAGTTCAAAGGAAATGAGACTATGTAGCAGAAATAATCCCCAGAGAGACTTTTCTCCAGAGTCTGCTTGAGATGGAGGCAATTCCTGCTAAGTATAAAGTACCTGGTAAGAAGAAATAGAAAGCTACCAGGCAATTTCTTAATAAAATCTAAAATAATCCAGAGATGGCTAAGTCTACTAATTGTGTGTGAGGGGTTGATGAATTATAGAGATACCTGGTTCTTCAAATACAATAGATATACTGAAAGAGATGCATTTAAGAAGGGCTAAATCAGAATAATTTGAATCACCAAGATAAATATTATTTATTCTTTTATAACAGTTCATCTTGGGACTAAAACAACTGTGGCAATTAAAAAAAGTATTTTGCTATTACCATTGTTGCTATCTTCAGTTGGAGTTAGCAGATATATGCATCTGTGTCTGTTATGCCCACAAGGCTCCTGAGAATCATGACTTACAGACAGGTCCTCCAGGAAGCTTCACAGTTCTTTAAAGATCTCATAGTGTCCTGTACATATTGTATATGGCATAGCTGATAAACATGAGAACTATCTCACTCCTCTCTTGTGACATGGTCCACAAAGACCAGCTGTGAGAGTGAACTGGCTGGCCAGAGAGCCTCCTTATTTAGTACAAGAGACCTGCCTCCTGTAGACAGTGGCTACGAATCCCCCACTTCTCCAACCATGTCTCACAATTTTTCTGTTTGTTGTTTAAACTCAGTAGCATTCTTTAATGGCTTGTCAGTAAAGAAAGTTTCCGGCTTTAAAGTTCATTTGTTTACAGCTTATTAATAACATAAATGACATTTTTGTGCCAAAAATGGAGAGTTGCCCTAAGTGATGCCCATAAAGCCTGAATCAATCTGGTTGGTAATTTAGAATCTTTCTTTAGATTTGGTTTAAGGTTCTGCATCAAACTAAGAAACTATCAAACTAAGAAACCTTCATTTACATAAAAATGCTGCACACTTGCTACCTGCTAGCAACATGATTTATAATCTAAGAAAATTGGGGTTGCTTTGCCTGATCTCTCATATAGAAAACTCTTTGAATGCTGTGATTACATTTGCATGTAATAAATAAAAATTGATATTCAACATTCTTATGGCAGGCCAAGTGTCGCAATTTTCCCTGTTGTCCCATGGGAAGAGTGCTTGTATGTTAGCCCATGTGCCTGTAATGTTATAACCATAGGCTTTTATTTAAATCCAGCACATCAAGGCTACTCAGTAATGAGGGTAAGTGAAGATGTGTATCTCTAATGGTTAGAATACCAAAACCCGAGATGGGCCTTTGAGTTCTGCTACTCGTGTAACCTTGGACAAATGATGTAACTTTCCCGTGCCTCATTTTCTTCATCTCTAAAAGAGGGATAATAATACAGAGGAGTTGTAAAAGTTTAATTGAAGTTGGTAAAGTATTCTGATATGGGTTGATAATGTAGATATTCTTTGGTGAAAAGTGATCCATAAACCCAAAGTGCTATTATTTTTAGAACTATTGAGATGATCTATCTAGAAACTCATAGCATCTGTATTTGTTTGGTTTTTTGTTGTTGCTTTTTGTTTGTTTGTTTGTTTTTTGCAGTCATATTCTTCTGTTAATATCATGAGTCCTGGGAATATTGGACCAGCAAAGAAAGCAGAAGCCACTGGTAAGCTGTAGAGGAAGGCTGCCAGCAAAGACTTGTATTCACCATAACATTAACAAATTCAAACAGTTGTAGTAGCAGCTGCCACTGGCAGAGCTTGCCTGAGCTGAGAGAGTGGCTACTTTACTTTGGGATGAGAAGAAAGCAACAGTATTTTAAATCTGTTATATAGCACTTTTATCCTGAAGTGCGGAAGCATATTATATACAGTGGCAATGAAATGCAGCCACCTTTAAAGTGGAAGGTGACAGTCAGAGAATGCAGCACACTGTCTGGTTGTAGGGTGAGAGGAAAAGTTGGGCAAACCCTCTATTCCTAAAAGAAGTACCATGGAATATTTAAGAAATGCAAAACTCTAGAACTCTTGGTTCAGAGATGATACCTTTTATTAAAGCAACTAAGAAATCGCAAAAAAATATATATTTTTTTTTTCTGCAAACTTTTGGGCACATGCACACTTCCTCAGACTCAGGGAAAATTAAAGATACTAAAAAGTTCCCATAGATAGAAAATAAATTTCATTTTTGCACAGAGGAAGCTGAAGGTGGAAGTCTGTTCCGCTAGGTCCATGAGAGTGTCTTTGTGAGTTGCTCTTCGATGTGCAGATAAGGCAGGATTCCTTCCCTGGTGGTGTCAGATGGCAGGGAGGTATAGAAATCTTTCTTGTTGTTCAGTAATGAAGTTTAAATTAAAAATCGGCTAAAATTTTGCACCTTCCATGTTTTAGGAATGTATTTGGTAGCCATGTTGATTTGAGACAAAAAGAAATGCAAAACTCTAGAACTCTTGCTTCAGAGATGATACCTTTTATTAGACCAACTAAGAGGGGTGCGTGTGCCCGAAAGCTTGCAGAAAAAGATCTTTTTTTTTTTTTTTGCAATTTCTTAGTTGGTTTAATACAAGGTATCATCTCTGAACCAAGAGTTGTAGAGTTTTGTATTTCTTTTTGTCTTAGACCAATGCAGCTACCAAATGCATCCTTGAAAAATGGAATGTTTAATGCTCACACAGAGCAGGTAAGAGCTTGTTTTTTAAGGCATTATCTGAAAGGATTTTCACATAGTAAACTGAATTGAACTCGGTGTGTACACCTCATCAGAGTGAAAAGATATTACCCCACCAAGAAATCCTAGACACCACCCTAAGTTTCCCTCCCCACCATCCCCATCTCCAAAAGCCAACAAATCTATTTAAGCAAACAGTTGAGAAGAAATAAGCAGTAATCTGTGCCCTGAAGACCAACAGACTCAAGCTCTGACAGATAAGGAACAAAGTGGATTCCACAATCAAGTCCTTATTGCAAAAGCTGCCTCCTGTCTTCAGACATAAATATTAGGAATATAGCAAAAGTGCATCTTTGGATGACAACTGCATTGATAGCACATAGAGAGGTGCATTTTCAGACTGCCCACCCCAAAACCCATTAGCATCTTATAAACAGATGTCAGCACCTTGAAAGCTATCTAGGAAATAAAAAAGGAAGTCAGAAAGTCTTTGTAGAATTGGTATGACATCTTTCTTACAGTCAGTACTATCAAACAATCAGACGGCTCAAATGGCCAGGAATTGCAGCTGTCGTGTAGTCTTCAAGTATGGCTCTTCTGCAAGGAGACGTAAAGAGCCATTCTGGAAGTCATAAGGGCATGGATAGGTCCATCTTTCTCATTCCACATATGGGTGGACACAGGATATTTAGGTTTATGGGAATAAAGATCTACCTCTTTTTCCAAACCTCCCAAATTCACCTCTGGGTAAATTTTGAGGAGACTGAAATACTTAGACTTTATATCAAAGAGACATTCTGGTTAAACGCATCCATTCTAGAAAAAAAACAGTCCTGTTCTAACATGGGACCATATCATTCTCTTTCTCACCTCTCTCTCAGACACCCCTCAAATGACTCTCACAAATACTAAAGATATCTGGAATACAGAGGAGGTACCAGAAGGTTCAGAGTTTGATGATACCTGGGACCCAAGGGAGCAACCACAGTAAGTGTAACAGAGCTGAGATGGTGTACAAGGATTTTGAGTAGCACTAATCCAAGCAGGTTCTATGTAACACATAGCATGGTTAGAGTGAAGTGCACCCAGCTGAAAAGCTTGTCTCATTGAAGAACAGAATGGATGTATGCTGACTGCCCTTACCTCCAAAGCAGTAACAATTATACATGGTGTTTATCTCCCTTGTGGTGGCCCTCTAATCCCATAACAAAAATGTAGAGTCAGATTCTTATTATAGATAGGGTTTAAGAAGACCAGCATCCTAATTGACTAGCATTCAGACAAACTAAGTTTCTTTAGGAACAAACTGGGTTCAGCTGCTACATCTCCCCATATTAGTAAGAGATCCATTTCCTTGATGACTCTATACTGTATTTTGGGTATTTCTATTGATTACCCAAATAATTCTCCCAACAGTAGGTGTACAGGAAAACACCTACTGTTGGGAGAATATTTGACTAATAGTGTTACCCTTCTCATGGATTGTACTCAATCAGAGAGTATAAAAGGACATCCTAAAAATATTAACAGACTTCTCCTTTCCTTCTGTTAAGTAAAACAATCTCAAATAGATACCATCAAGCACATTTGGTTGTAAACAGCCCTGAAAAAATTAGGAAAATCCTTTAGCTCTACATGGTCAAATTATATAAAAACCAGGCTCAGCTGGTATAGACTAGCTTAACTGAAATCAGCTGTCCTGTGTAACATACAGCAGATTGAAGATCTCACCCAGAGTTTCTACTTCTCAGTGTCTATTTTGCCATTCAGTTGCCTGATCTAGAAACTGGGCTGAATCCCCTTTAAACTTAGAATGTGGGACATCTTTGAAAGTCTTCTGTATCACCTTCCATTATGCATTTATGTGCACTTGTGAATCCTTTTTTATTTAAATGGCCACCTGTGGGTGCACCCACATATGCAGGCATGTGCACTTGCAGCAGCTCAAATAGGAGTGGCACAAATTTGAGCCAGGGATTTTGCCTTAGCGCACATGCCCAGACATGCACTTTGTTGTGGGGCAAGATGTGCCACTTGAGGCAAAATAACCCTGCCCAGCTCACCCCAGATCTGCAGCCAGGGGGAGCTAAGTATACAAATCTGCCCTGGCAAGCAGCTCACGGCTACTTTCTCCCAGGAGCTTCTGGGGTGGTGTCACTCATGTCGGAGACCTCCTGGACTATGATAGGCAGGAGTGGGTGGATCCTGCTAGCTGTCCCGGCGCGTGGGTCTACCCACAACATGTGCGACCTGCCATCTAGTCCCGGAGGTGAAATCTGCACTACCTCCTGATGCCCTTGTTGAACAGGTCCTGTGTGGTGGCAGTCCCCATCCCCCTATGCCCTCTAGCCCACCAGAGTTTGTCATGGGGCCAGCACCTGGCCCGGCCTCACAGTGCTCCCTGCTCCACCATCTTAGCTGGCTGGAGGACACCAAACCAGTTCGCTTTTCCACTGTCCATTGCCAACACCTCTACACATTTGTGTGCTGCATGATCAATCATACTGGCCTCGCATCCTACCCAGACACCAAGTAGTGGGACCTGCTTGGCGAGGGTGTAGCTGGGGCACCCCAGTGGTTGAATCTGTACTCCACCCTCATCCCACAAGCCACTGGGGACCTCAGTTGGTGGCTCCTCCATGGAGCCATCACCACGGGTGTGTATGTGGCGAGCTTCATGGACACCCTAGCCTCCTGCCCCTTCTACGGGCAGAGGCAGACCCTGGCGCCCATGACCCTTGAGTGTGCCAAGCTGCAGCCCCTCCACCTTCACCTGCAGAACCTCCTCCTGAGGTTCTGATTGAATTTCACCCCCCACCTTTTTGTTTTTGGTCACTCCATCCATGGCCTCACCAAGTCCTGACCTCCTGGTCAACCTCCTTCTGGCCCTGGCCAAGTGGGTCCTGTACTTGACCAGGAAGGAATCTCTGGCTGGGAAGGTCTGTTCAGCATGTACAAAGCTCAGGTCACACAGTGCCGTGTCACTGCCAGCTGTGCCTGCAGCTGGGCCACAGCCACGCTGGCTGCTGCTGCTGCAGGAGGCAGGTGGGTTGTAGGTGTGTGACAGCCCCTGTTCAAGCCCCTCCACCAGCCCACCCACAGACCACACATCCCCAAACCCCCCACTATTCCTCACACCCCCCCAACATCCCTCCACCACTCCTCACACCCCCTACAGCCACAAACCCTTCCACCCCCATGTCCCTAACTTATTTGTGACAGCACCTGGGATCCTGGTCATGCAGGGTCCTTGCCCCGCTCTTCTGCTTGCCCCAGCAGGCTAAGGGTGCATGACCCATGTGCTGGGGGCAGCAGAAGCACCATAGAGATGTTCTGGACAGAAATCAGAGTGTCTCTTGGGAGGACTGGCTCCTGGGTTACCTCAGGGCACAGTCAGGAACCATGCCCTGCCCTGCTTTTTACCCCTGTGTTTTATTTTGATACATGGATATCCAGGTATCAAATTTTGAGCCCATGCTGCAAATATACAGCATGGGGAATGTTTTTTTGTTCCCAGCATGCCTTTTGCCTCATCTCAAAATGTTTTGAGATGTGGCAAGAGGCATGTGCAGGCTCATCTGGACGTTACCTGTGAGGCTTTTTATCCTTCTTTATTTGACCTGTTGGCATAAGATATGTTTGTCCAAAGCTAAAAAGGACCAAACTCTTAAGCTAGTCAGTCTTTGCTTTGGGAGGGCCAGCTTTTGTTCAGCCCTGGGTAATCAAGAATTGTGTTGCACAGATAAGATGAGCGTATACATTTTTGTAATATTTCATGTCCCAAAAGGAAAATAGGTGGCTTTAAAGGTAAATCTAGAGCTGTTATTAGACAGATATTATACTGACTGAGAGACTAGGATTGTGTTACGTGCCTGTCCATTACAGACACGAAAAGAGCCTTTTTCTGTATGCTCCATCCACCAGTCATTCAGAGAGAATTTTCTCTATTTATTTTGTTTAATTTTCTAGAAGTAATGTATAGCCTAAGTACAATCTTTAGTTGTATTTCCTTGTTCATTAGTGATCAGCCAAATGAGAACTCATAATTCCAGATTTTCTGCATGCTGAACTAGACAGATTGATTTGGGAAAAAAATTCAATTGCCAAATGGAAAATAATTAAAAGTAGCACAGAGCTATGTTATTCTCAGGTTCCAAGAGAATATTATGACTGATGGAGAAGAGCACAGTACAGTTAGTAGAATGATTACTTGACAGCATTCTTTTCAAATGTTTTCCCCAGAAGGGCTGTTTTGGTTGTATAAAAGATAAGTATCACATTCATATGGTTCAATTTTCATTGTCTTATCCCTTATCTTTGCAAAGCCTGATAGTGCTATGGACACAGCTTGTTCAGCACCTCCTGAGGAGTAGAGGGTGACCCAATACTCTTCTTGTGTGCTTCAGCTAACTATGACAGACACTGGTGATCTGACTAAATTCTCAATGGAAGTGTCCCCTTGAACGCCAGAAAGTGGGAAACAAAGAGCTCCAGCTGACCTGGGAGGGCCGACATTCCCAGTGAAAACATACATTACCCTTTGTTGCCTGCTTTCCCTTGATGTGGAGCTTCATGTGGGGTCAATAACTAGTTTTATCTCTGTCAGGTATGAGATTTTATTCAAACAGCAGGTGGGAACAGAGGACATCTTCCTGGGGATGAGCAGGAAGGACCCATCTACAGCCTGCTGCGAGGACATGCTGGTGAGCAAAATGCCCTTCTCCTATTCCTTCCCTTCTTCCGTTCCTTGTGGCCTCCTCCTCTCTTTCTTGATGTCTCAGTCAAACACAGTGTATAACTACAAAGCTGTGTTATTTTCTTTTAGACTGCAGATCTCCTCAGCAGCTTTCTGTGAATCTGCCATTGCTGCTGTCTGTGCTGTGCTGCCACATAGGCATGCAGCTCCTTCAGAACTTGTTGTATTCAAACATTACACAATCCATACTGACCCATGGGCTAAGTTTACACCTAATGTATGTAAAAGCAGCCCCCACAGGGAATTATACTCACGTCAGTATGACTCTTGTTATTGGGGTAAAGTTTAGATCCTTCCTTGAGCAGCAGGTTTGGGGGTTGGACTAAATGTACAATCCCATGTATCAGATTGTGTCCCTTTACTTTATGGTTAGGAACACTTCCCTTCTACAGCAATTAGATGGGACAAAACTTTTTTGGGTTCTTTCTCCATTTGATTTGGGATGAGGCTGGGTCTCACCAGAGTGAATGCAAAATACTCATTATGTACATTCTGAACTCGGGGTTTTTGCAGATGGTAGGGGTATCTGTAAACACTAGAAACGTGCTGAAAGCAACTGTTTGCATTTCTTCATCTTTCTACTCTTACAAATGCCATGCTCTGGCACTCTGTAATCAAATGGATCATAAGGAGGCTGCTTATTTCTTATGGACTGTAATAGTGCAAAACTAATCCCAGCCTTGTTTGTACCTGTCGTTTCAGATTAGAATCAAACTCCCAGATACAAAGTCCTCCGATATTACTCTGGACATTCAGGAGAAGATCCTTGACCTTCGAACCCCCAAAAAGTAAGTGAAGCAGCGTGGTTAGAAGCTGGTACTGTTTTTTCTCTCAAATAAAGTATACCCAAGTTTTCAGCTGATGGAATACAGGCAGTCCTTGACTTACGACTTTTTGAGTTACAACAAATGGCATTTATGATATTTGTAAATTGACACCCAGTTTCGAGGTTCCCACATGGGTTTTGCTTATGATAGGCAGCACAGCTGCATCCAGCTGGTAAATCTGTTGTGGTGGGGGTGAAGGGGGAGGGAAGGGGGCATGGGGGCGCAGATCAACGTCCCCGCAGTGACGGAGGGATTGGTGACTGGAGCTGGGGCAAGCACTGTCCATGGAGGGGGTGGGGCAGCTTGTGCTGCTGCATGTCGCTAGTTCAAGAGCTGCTTGTGTAGTAGCTCATCCAGTGTCTCTCGTTGCTGCTTCCACCACCAGACCAGGAGGGCATGGGGCCGGGCCATGTGCCCCAGGATCTGTGCAAGGCGGCTGGGTCTGGGGCTGCTCTGGGCAGAAGGGAGAAGGCGCTGGGAGCGAGGGCTATGCCTCGCCACCACTTGCCTAGCTAGCATTGGGCCAACATGAGACTGAGCCCCTTTGCTGCCTCTGGACAAGTGGCATGCAACGGCAGGGGCTGACCCCGCCTCCCCCCCGCGCACCCACCCCGCCCGCGCCTCCCAGATGAGCAGCAGCTTCACCCTGGCTGGGCAAGCGGCAGCAAGGCATGGAGTGGGGGGGTGTGCCTCCGGATTGGGGCAAGATGGGCAGTGGAGTGGAGGCTATGGGGGGGCTGTAGCAAGTTTTTGGGCAGCACACGCCCCGCCATGCTCTGCCATCACTTGTCCATTCAGGGCAAAGCTGCTCCTTGTCCAGGAGCTGCAGGGAGGCCAGTCCGGCTCCTGCCACTGTGTGCCACTTACGCAGAGGCAGCACAGTGGCTCAGCCTTGCACTAGCCCCATACCTGCTGGGCAAGCAGCAGGGGGGCCAAAGCCCCCGCTCCCAGTGCTTTCTGCCCAGAGTACAGCCCTGTGTAGCCCCCACCCCGCACAGATCCTGGGGCACACATGCCCACCTCATGCCCTCCCAGACAGGTGGCAGGAGCAGTTCCTAGAGCCACTGGACAAGCCACCACACAAGCAGCTCCTGGAATGGTGGTGCACAGCGGCACGAGCTGCCCTACCCCCTCCCTGGGCAGTGCTTGCCCCAGTCCTTCCCTCACTGCGGGGGCATTGATCTGCACCCCCACGTCCCTTCCCTCCCCCCCACCACAACAGACTTACCAGTTGGACACAACTGGAATCAATCCCCCAAATATAACTTTGTTCCTATGGGAAAATTGGTTCTGAGTTACGATGTTTCAACTTAAGACATAGTTTGCAGGAACCAATTGTGTTGTAAGTCTGCCTGTACATGGTAGCATGCAAAAGTGATGCTGCAGATAGGTTTATTTAATTTCACTTGAGAAATACCAAGACTGAAACCAGCCACTAACAATCTTTTAGGCTAATTGTAGGGCTTGGATTCTCTGAAAGTAACATCTGTGACTTCTCTGGCAACAGTAGCCTTGAAACACAGACTTTTGCTAAATGAAACAGCTAACCAACTGAACCATCATTTCAGTCATCTAAAATTGCTCCTACAGTTCTAAATGCATACGTGCATGTGTGGCACATAGATGCCAATTGTACATGTATGCAGCTGCAAACAGAAGACATACATGCACAATTTCAGAGGCCATGAGCCAGCTTGCCCTTCTCCTTGGTGATACCCTCGCAGGTCCTAGAATCTTTGTGAGATTTCTCTTATGGCATTTTCCTCTGAATTCTTCCACAGTGGGAAACTTGATTAGAACTTCCCCAGGAGAAAGTGAAGATCTGGCCTGTAAACCCTGTGAATTCCTTAGGCTCCCACTGTCTGGGACTGCACTGAATGGGACTCCCTAGCTAATGCTTGTGTCTGGGATTCCCAGTGAAGTCATTCTTCATTTAACTCAGTTTCATGCTGTTGGTCTGCATTGAGAACAGAAAGGTTCTGCTAGTGGATTTAAGGGGCATATTCTGGATTAAGGCTAAGGGAATTGCTTCCCAGAGAAAACCATAGGACTAGCTTCATTCCTAGCATAACTCCATTAAATTAATGCAGTTCTGTTGACTCTGAACTCTGAAAATAACAAAGCAGAAGGAATACTTATTCAGACAATAACTCATGACTTGGCAGAAATGACATTTGGCAAAATCAGACAACTGATACTGCATAGTTAGGAAAACAACTTCCTGTTCCTTTTGCAATACTATATCTTTGAGTCAGGGATTTGCCACACATCTAACTTCCACCTGCTTCAAGTCCTGAATCCAGCAAGTCAAAGATCCTTAGTACATCTGAAGTCTGCATGGGAGAGTGTTTGGGCTAGTGCTGCTTTTGTGCGGGTAGATGCAAATCTTTTCAGTATATCCTATAGTCTCAGAAAATCCTCAGTAACTGCTGGGTACAGCTGAGAAGTGGGGCATGCAAAGGAAATGGTAGTCTTCTCTGACTGTGGGCCTGGTTCTGAGTTAGTTCAGTTTCTAGCTACTTTAGGCCATTCTGAACGATGTCAACTCCTAGTGCCTCATTCTAGCGGCCAGGCACTGGGGGTTTCTAGCCATCCCAGCTCCAGCTACTCCTCCTGGGTATGGGTGCAACACACAACCAACATGCCTTAGATCTTAGTTGAAAGCAGCTTGGAGGCTGTGCTGCTCTGTGGCATCCAGGGACTTTACAATAAGTGGAGTACTTCTTGGCTAGACATATTCTCCCTTATTGTCAATGGACTGGCCAAGCCTTTAATCAGACTGCTCCCATTCCTTTGCCTTTACTGGGGAAGATAGGTTACCTCTTCCTGTGCTACATTCTCTGCAAATACATGTTGAGACCATATTTCAGATTTTCACCATTGTGATAGCATAAGTGTGTCTTGTTGTTACTCTGATTTTAAAATGCACAACTCTGCAGCAGCAAGAGCTGTGCAGAGAGCCCCACAATCCATTACTGGGGGCATTTTTACACGTGGTGTAGAACACAGCTCCAGGCACTTTAATTAGCAAGCCATGGTAATTGAAAGCATCCATGCATCACATGTATCAGCATCACTGCGTGTCCCCACGCTGACAAAATGGTGGCAGGGTACTTTGAACTAAAGTTTATCAAACATTTTTTATTTCAAAGTACACCACCGCCATTTTCAGCCCAGAGATGCATGGTAACACTGATAAATGTGACGCAGAAGGCTGCCAGAGCACATGGGTGTCTGATGCCTCTTGAGTCATGGGGGGCCTGTGCCCCCCCCGTTACCAGTCAAGGTGTGCGGGGACTCCCCTTGCCGCCAATCCTGCTGACCTGAGGGGGTGTCCCCTGGTGGCTGATCCCACTGGCCGGGGGTAGCGATCTCACTCACCAGGAAAGCGGCCATGCTGCTTCTGGAAGTCCCACGGCCACTTCTGGAAGTGGCGCGGCTGCTTTTCCTGGCTGCCCTGCTCCCCGACCAGCTCTTGCAGGGGGGCCACTGGTGTTCCCGCCTGCCCCCCTGCTAAACAGGGAGCATGACCTGGCAGGGGGTGCACCAGCACTTGGGGTGCACGTGCAACCCCGTGCAACCTCTACATGTTACCCCTGCTGGAGCACATCAATTTCTGTGCTCCAGCAGACTTGATTAATTACTGTATTAAAGACTGGATTCCCAGCATATTGGAGCAGGCTCCAACGTGTATAGGAGCCCTGGAAGTATTTGTCACAGCACACAGCCAACAGCATCCGTGCACACGTATGGGAACCCTGAAACTATTTGTCACAGTACAAAACCAAGAGCATGTGGGGAGAGAACCAGTGTTGGGAGTATTCCACTTTCTTCTGGAGTTGAGCATGAGTTGTTCAAGAAAACCCATAACCTCCTGAAAGAATCACCATAACTTTAAGTAGACCACCGAACTCTGGCTTCTCACTTGCATTTCCTTTTCTATTACTTTCTTAATATAAAAATTCCTTGTGTCCTGTTTCCTAGGAAGCTGCTACTGCACCTCCCTTACCCTGTGGACAGCAAGAATGGAAAAGCTTTTTTCATCTCAGAAAAGGAGAACTTGGAAGTCACCTTAAGGATGACGAGAGAGTTGGACTTCATCAACTTTTCTTAAGGGCAGGGAGAATTAGGGAAAGTTTTCAAGCAGGAATTTACATGGCCTTGGAGTTGTCTCAGAACCTGACTGATAGCCAAGTGAGGGACTGTTCCCATTCAGAATGGGTCAGGAGGGACAGAATCCTGCTGCAGCTCCTTCTCAGACATTTGTATGATGCAGTAGACCATATTGTACTTTTCTTGAAGGTGAACAGGAAGCAGAAATGTACAACATGGTTTTTCTTCCTATGGGAAATTTAGGCCTTGGCATCACAACCCTACCATATCCCAACTCATCCCATTCCAAGTGTGGCCCAACATGCCAGCTGTCGTGGTATACAAAACACAAATGGGAGAAGTCTTTTCTGCCTCCTTGATAAATATCCCACAAAGATCATGGCTGCAGATGGTTTCTCATGGGCTTCTGCTGCTTACTGTTTAGGGTTCTCAGGTTAAGTCTTAATCTTGCCGTTAGGTTGTTCACATCACTCCATATCTCCAAAAGGGGTGAGTGGGATTATAGGTTCCGGGTCAGATCATAAACCCGCTGAAGTCAGTAGAAAGATACCTTGTTAGCTTCAAAGGGTTTGGATTAAGCCTCATATAGTGGTGTATAGCTTGTTCCAGGAGGTACAACTGAGGCCAGGATTCCTGTGTACTTAGTTTGAATGATTTGTCATGGGATTGGTACTGTTTAAATGATGCATTAATATGCCATCTATGGTTAATTAAAATGTTATTCATACACTAATTCAAATTCTTGCACTGATACTTTTTGGAAGAGGTCAGGACTTATAACCAAAACATAAAATGGCAGGGAATACTGGGACATACTCAGCGGGTCCTTTTATCTTCCAAATCTTGTAGATACGCAGTATACCAGTTTACAGGTATGTTCATTATGAGTTGTGTATTTGCCTAGACTTTGTAAACCACCAGTTACTTTTAAAATAGAAATGTCAGTAATTTCAACAGACAGTTTTGCAACATGCAGTGTGAAACTATCAGAAGGGAGAAGTCCAGAAAATGTTGTCAATACATTTAAATGGGGAATATTTTGATGTAAAAATTCCAGCAGTGTCTAAGTAAGATACAGTATGTATTCTGCTTCTCTTTTTTGATCTAAGCCCAAGTGCAAGAGCTCTGCAGGTCATTTCCCTAGAAGAAAAAACTGATGATGGAATCTGGTTCTTTGATGCTTACTCTTACAGGAGTAATCAAACAACAGGAGATAGTTTCTTTGTTCAAACCTTTGTCAGCTGGCATTTGGCTGGTAGCTGTCTTCTCAACAATGTGCTACCAGTGCTTCTGCTGAAAGCAAGGCCAGCACAGAGCACGCTATACCAGCTGTGCAATTGTGAAGGAGCCTTCTTTGCTGTTTGTTTTCTTAGATGGCTGTTCCCACCAAGTTAAAGGTGGCAGAACAAGGCAGCATGCGCCTACATCCTGATTGTTGGCTTTCAGGAATAAATGTCAAAAATGTGTGGTACAACCTTAGCTACTAACCCAGCTCTTCCTCTGCTTATACTCCTAATCGTTTTATTTCATCTACATATAATGAATTATGCTGGTCCCCTTCCACCTCTGCCTCTTTCCAAAGACTGCCAGTAGAAGTAATAGGGGAAAGCTTATGTAGCAAAGCACCATTTCCTATAGAGGCGGAAGCATTGCAGAAGTCCCTCTTAGGTCCTTAAGTATATTCCAGAGGTCTGGAAACATATAACCAAGAAATGCTGCTCTTGCAGTCTCAGCTAGGCAAATAAATCTTTGTAACATTCTCAGTTAATCATCCAGGCAGTGAACAGGTATCACAGTGGAGAGAACAAGCAGGACCTATCCTTTGATGGATTGGGTAGGTTTAACAACCAAGTTCTTGTAATCAGTATAAAATAGCTCGGGACCTGCATTTTGCTGGCAAAAAGTGAAGGAAGGTGACTGGCTAGCTCTGTTGTAGCTAATGCCCATGCATGACAAGCTGTAATAAGGAGATGGATCCCCAGTGATGGAGATGACACAGTGCCAATTATTTCCCAAAATAAGTATTTTTAGCTGGATCAATGGCAATTTGCAAGCTTCACTGTGTATCTGGATTAGACTACGGTACATTTTAAGAGAAAATGCCTGGTCACCTGGTCATTGCAACCACTGCCTTTAAAACTCCTTTTGCTAAGGTCAGGACTGTAAAGCCCAGTCTCTGTTGTAGTGCTAATAAACGGTTTGGAAAACAAAGAAGCCAAGAGTTGCTTATATTGCATCTTATAACTTCTGGGAAGGCCTAAGTATCTTCCAAATGATGTATTTGGCCATTTCTGTAAATCACATTGGAATCTACCTCTTACCATCCACTGATTAAAAGCTGCAAACCAGTGCTTAAAAAGATTGCATTCATTTGCCAAAAAGATGAGATCATTCTTGGTGGCTGTGCATTTGTACTTGCTTCTGTTTCCAGAAGTTACAAGCATGAACCCTTCTGGTAAAAGGGCTGGATTTGTTGTCTTTGAGTAAAATGAGGCTGCATCCGTCATGTAAAAGGAACTGGATTGTGAAAATGGAATGTAATCCCATATTTATACATGCCCAAACATCCACCCTGTTTCTTCCCTGTGCTTTTAGATACAGAAAGCAACACTATTGAAGGTCCTTCTAACAGGATTTTTTACTAGTCCATAACAGACTGACAGTCCTGGAGACCAAAGTCCCCTATGGACTAATTCAAGTATAGTATTAGCAGCAACATTTCCGTTATCACTGGACATGTCTACACAAGATGCTACTGTGTATTGGTTACTGCGCCTTTATTTAGTACTTAAATAGTCCCCATCCTGGTTGCCTTAGCGATGAAGTTCTTAATTTATTTACTGATACATTTATTACCTTAGAGGCTCAAAATTGTTTTCAAATCATTAGAATGAGTTTGGCTTGGTCTGTTTTTATCCATTTACTTAGTTATTTTTAATAGAGTAGAAGTCTTGTTGCCCATGATGTAATCTTTTTTATGGTATATCTAGTTTTTGCAAACTATATCTAACTGAATACTTAAGGCAACTTACTGATGCTGGGAGGGGTGTGGCATGTGTGTGTTAAGAGATGCTTGCAGAGCACAGCGTGTGGGATGCGGAGGATTCCTGGAATGCCTCCCTAACACCAGCAGGATAGTGTCTCCCTGACACTTGTAAGATAGCAAGAAGTTCAGAAAAAGGTCTCATTATAATGCTAAAAATCACACCCCTGGGCAGGGCAAAAGTATGTTAATGAAACATATATGTATGTAAATGAATTACATGGCTAAAACATAGGTATAGAGACATGCTCAGTAGAGAACGTCTTATGTCAGTGGCTTGTAACCAATCACTGAGCGATACACTTGCAAACATATGTATAAAAGGTACCCAAAGGTAGAAACCGGTGGTGCTTGCTTTGCAAACGATTGCCAAGCACCCCTCTCTGCGCAGACTGGAAACAATAAAGATTAAGTTGGATCCTCCACCCCTGTGTGTTCATTAGCAATAGCGCACCGGGCACGAACTCACACTGTCCGTTGGGGACAACAAGATCAGTGGGTCTATTCCAGTTTGCAGCAGCTGAAATCTAGCCCATTACAATACAAAGGGGATGTAGACTACATTAGACTAGAATCAGAATCTAGAATTGAACTAGGATTCCAATCTATGTACCTTTTGTGGGTTTAAATCAGATTCTAACTATTATGATGACGTTCTCTTGGCTGGAATAACTGGGTAAGAAGCTGATATGGAAGTTGGAGTAAGCTTTTCAAACATGTTCTCTGCAGTGTTGTTATGCAACTTGAGTCGACGGAGCCACTGACAGTGTTTCTATTCTATACATTTCAGCTTTGCAAATGTGGCCTTCAGGGCAGCATAAATGACACAGAATCAATTGACTGAGTGTCCAAAGTTGTGATCATGTGGTGGCACCCAGCATGAAACACTCAGGCTTTGTACCTTAATTTACCTGTGAAATCCTCCTCCTCAGAGAGCAGCTGCTGCAGAAGCAGTGATGGCTGACTGATGTGCACAGATAATATTTTCTATCGTGTTGACTCAACAGTCTTTCCCCTCTGCTGATAGGTTGGTTGTTTGCTCCAGTCTCTTCACCAGTCTCATTTCCCACTTGTTTCTCATATCTTACTCCTTGTCTTTTTGTCTAGCTTATCTCTTCCTAAATAAATCCCACACAGTGAAACAGTCATGGCACCACCACAACATTTGTCACTAGCACTTTGTTTGGACTGTTGGTGCATTGCACCCATTTCCTTTGTCCTGCATATCTCCTGTCTATTTAGGCTGTAAGCTTTGCGGCACAGGGGCTCTCTCTTACTTTGAGCCAGTCTACATAGCAGTTGGGAGCTGTGCTTATAGCAACATGCTTGCTTCAATATGGAACTCAGCACAGACCAACTCTGAGTATTTATTCAGGTTTCTGCACAGGTTTTGCTGCCAGCACAGAACTTCTGCTCATGTAGCTACAGGCACCCACGTGAGATCGATTAAAGCCAGCTCAATTATGTCTACATGCCTTTGGCTTGCACCATATGCACACCTTGTGCGTTTATACAGTGCCCAGCACAATAGTAATCTTAATGTGTCCCTTGGCACTCTCTGATTAGTAATCTCAAAATAAGCTTCCTAAATTTATGAGGAATAAGGGTAAAGAAACTAGCTGCCCAAGAAAGCTGTAGAGTCCCTCTCATGGAAGATTTAAAAAAAGAGGCTGGATGGCCATTTGTCTGGGATTGTTTAAGAACAGTGAATCCTTCTCTTTTGCAAGGATTTAGCCATGAATAACAATGTCCTACATAATTTTCTCCATTCTTACTGCTGCTTCTGAAGCTGCCCAAGCTTGCATAAACTCTCTTTTCTCTCAATTTAGCGTCTCCTGCCAGATCCCATCATGAAACATACTCTTGTGTGCTATTTGCTGCCATAGGATCACAAAGTCAGCATTCTAAATTCACTGCTTTTGGCTCAGCTGAATTAAGAAAAGCAGTGTGAAGGAAAGCCATTATCTGAACACAAATGTGTTTCGTAAGGACCAAAATTGGCAGGCTAATTTTTACTAAAGACATTGTATTTCAGGATATAGTGGCCTATGGCCATAAGAGCTCGTGCTGAGATTCCATTATGTTCATACATTAAACTACTTCAAAGAAGGTCAGTAGTCGGATCACAGACCCTTCTGAAGAACAGCCAGAGCTGCAAAAAGTAGCATTGGTGAATCTGCAGGGGATGCTCTTCTGAGTGACCCAGTCACCACAGTTGCTCTGTTTCTCAGATGAGGCACAAAATGATAGCCTTCACCAACTGGGCATTTAATATGACAGAACATTTCTCTCATGAGAACAGGAGTTGTACTTTGGCCACATCCCATTCACTTAATTACATGTGTAACCTGGGCGGTACTCCAAGAGGCACCCACTCTCTAACTGAAGGGATCAGAGTAGGTGCACAAGCGCTGTGGGAGGTGTAGGGACGCTCCTCCCCCTATAGAGAGGAGCCAGACCACCAAAGAGGACTTAACCATATACCTTTTAATGAGAGAACAGTACTGGGAACATAACCAGTATAAACCAGGGGATATAGGTGATGCTACAACGCCCCGAGGAGACAGGATTCAACAAAGGTTAGACACTTACAATCATAGACATATTCATCCAGTTGATAAAAGGCAGGGTTAACAAAATATAAAACACAAACAGCAGAACAAACAATACTAGTTGGCGAAATATAAAAGGCACAAAACACAAAACATCAAATGACAAGGAATATAGGGCCTAGGTACCTGGAGGGGGTGGAGAGGAAAAACACAATGGTCCCTTTCTACTGCAACAAGGATTTCTCCCTGTTACTTCACTCACCCCAGCTGGGACTTGAATTCTAATCTCCCATGTGATAGACAGAAGCTCTACCACACAGACACCAGTGCTGGTACAGTGCCAAGCTGTTAGGGGTCTTGACCTTCCAGGAGCCCCTGCCTCACGTTTATCTGCCTGGCCTCTTATAGGAGGAGCTGGAAGCAGAGCTGGGAACCTCTCAGATTGCTGCTCAGATCCTTGCTGGAGCATGGGAACCTCTCCTGCTAGCCATAGCCTCTCATAGGTGATCCTGGAGCCCAGCGGGGAGCCTCTCCCGCCTGC